CTGCTCCAAGGGGCCTTAGAGGGTGTCCTGGAACAGAAAGCATGAAGTAGAAACCCTTGGACACTTCAGGCTACCAGCAGCCTTCAGGACCGGGGCTCCTGAGCAAGGGGAGAAGCTGGTGCTCATTACAGTTCCGTGGCTGATCAGGGCAACCTGATTCAACCAGCCTGATCATTTGTTTTACCCTGTGTAAGAATGGTAGTGATGGCCACATTAATTTTGCATTTACTGTATACCAGTGTGGTTTCCTATTCACGATATAAGAGCAATTCAGTCCTATTCCACAATAGTCCTATTCCCTGCTAGTCCTCAAGGGTTCTCCAAGAACACTGGGCATTTTTTTCTCCAAATTTTGTCCTCTTCTCAGCTTGGTCCTTTTCTTCTACCAAGAGCGCTTTTGGTTGGCTCAGGGTCCCATGGAATAAAAACCTACAGATAATCTGGGTTAAAGTTTTGTGTGTTGTGCTCCTTTCCTGCTAATCTCCTCACAGCTCATCTGTGGGTCATGGAAGCTCTTCTCCCTAGGATTAAGGCCCCTGGGTTGGCTTTATAGTCTCAGCGTTAGGTCAGTGGATGTATTTCCAAATGCCACATTCTTAGCTCTGGCCAGCTTGGGAAAGTCTCCTTGGAGTAGGAGGCCCCCAAGTACTGCATTTGCCCATGCTTCTGACACACACAGATCCACAAGGGAGAAGCTTAAAGAAACATTTCCTGGTGAAAAGTGATGGTGCGTACATTCATTTTCTATTCACTGTGTGTTGCAAATGCTTCACTTATGCTGTCTCCTCTAACAAATGGTAGATCCAGGATTTGAACACAGCTCTCTAATGCACCAAATCCTCATGCCTGTTACTACAAACATGGCCTTTCTCCAGCCCTTTCAGGGAACTGGGCTGGGCATGGCTGTCCTCCTCCAACACAGGTGGCCCCTGGACCAGCGTGGTTCTCATCTAGCTGCCCTCTTTAAAGGGCAGGCTAGAGTCCTTGGGCCAAGCTCCTGAAAGGCTTGGGCTGCAGGGTGAATGTGGTGAGACTGTGTCCAAGCTTCTTGTGGCTTGGATTGGGAGTTGCACGGTGAGGGCAAGGTGGGACACACAGGCAAACAGTTAGTTAAAGAACTTGGGTTTTATTGACACCAATAAACTCTCATATACCTCACAATCCTCACTATGGCCCACTTATGCACACACACAGGCACACTCTTGTCAGCTCTAAGAGTCATTTCTCAGCTGCTGGAGGGGATGAGGAGGCTGATTTGTTCCACCCAGGCCTGGGGCTATTGTGTTAGGTCTTTCCAAGGAGCCCCAAGCATGGCGTCCTGGGCAGCACTCAAGGTGGACATGTCGAGTTCACCTTGCCCGACTTAGGACAGATCCTCCCGTCCACAGAGCTGCCACCTGTCCCCTCCCTGCTCCTCCTCACAGTCTCATCTTGGGAATGTCCTGCCTGGTCTCCCTTGCAGCCCCTCTATCCCACACCAGCCCCCTCCAGACCTCCCAGTGCTAGGAGAATGCCAGGGCCAACCAGGCTCCTCTTCCCCTCCATCAACCCCCATCTTTCAGGTAGAGTGACCTGAGAGTCCTTCCTGCTGTAACATTGAGAGCTGGGGTACAGCCACCAGCACTCCAGCTAGACCTTAAATCTCTCTTGCAACAGCGCCCTCTGAGCTCTCTGCTCTAACAGGCCCCTGCCCTCCATCCAGCCAATAGAGAACACGGGCCTGCTCAGAAACTGCTCCAGGGAGGTCTTCTCCCCATTTTCTCCCCACTTAGATTGACCAACAATCTGCAAACCTCAAAAAAGATGAGTGAGCCAAGTGTTTGGTACTCATGCAGTCCCAAAACTCTGGGAGGCTGATGCAGGGGGATCACGGGACAGCTTAGTGACTACGAGAGACACTGTCTCAAAATAAAAAATTAAAAATGAGATGGGAACGTAGTGTAGTACAAAGGCCCTGGATTCAATCCTCAGTATAACACACACACACACACACACACACACACACACACACACACACGCATGCACGCACGCACGAATGTACGCAGGCACGTGCACACAAGACAAAATTCAAAAAGCAGATCAGATCTTAGTAAGAGGTGAGCCAGAGGGCTTTGCCCTGCTGACTTAGCTTAGAAGCAGCCACATCAGCCTCTGTGATCTTGGGATACAGAATGGGCTTTGTAGTCCTTTTATAAAGGGTCCTCACCCCAGGCAGAAAATACACCCCACATCTCCTCCCCCAGATCTGAACAGGGTCAGATCTGTGAAACACCCTTCTTTTTGTAGCTCTTTTTCCTGTCCCCACAGCAAAAGATGTGTTTTCAGGGAAAGTCTCTGGGAATAGCCACGATGCTACTAGTGAATACTTAGGTACAGTGGACTACATGCCGGGCACTGTTCTGGGCACTTCAGTGTCTGCGAGTTCATTTAATGCCCCCATGATCCTGTTATCACCCCACTTGACGAATGAGGAAACTGAGGCATGGAGAAGAAGCTGTCTGTTTCTTCTGTAGTAAACTGGGGCTGACACCCAGCCGTCAAGGTTCTCAAAAGAGTGGTGGATGGCTCTTGACCACTAAGCTATACTGCTACCTCGGTCTAAAGTGGACCATAATGTTCTAGTACCTGTGGTGTGGGTGAGGGGACCTCATTTTTGCAAATCAGTTAAAAAATGGAGCAGGGTCCAGTGACTACTGGAGTTTTGCTCCTTTTTCCTGTCATAGGGGACCTGGCAGAGTTCCTGCGAGGGAACCTGCTGTCCTTTGGCTCCTGGAACCCCTCACTCCTCTTGCCACACCCCCTGCAACGCAGGCTGTTGATGGAAAACGGCAGGGAATAAAAATAGCCATTGCTGATGTGGCAGAATGGGGCGGCACACACCAAAGCCTGGGGTAGCGGTACTGGAGGTGACGGGAAACAGGGTTCCCCAAGCCCCATGAGCACCTTTGGGGGGATACTTGGCCAGTTCTTGCCATTGCAGACCTGTGGTCCCCTGTGGAGTCACCAGAACTTCGGAGAGGTGCAGGCCTTCAGTGTCCATGGCAACTTGGACTCACGAGCAAGCTCTGCCCTAGCCCGGAGTTAGCCTAACCCTAACCCAAAAGGCAGGGGCCTTGTCAGATAACCCAGCCTCTGACCAGATCAGTGTGTTTAGCATCCAACTCAGGTCTTCCCTGAACTGGTCTGGGGGAAGAGGGGGGGAAGCAAAATCAGCCTAGCAAACCTCACATCAGGCCAGCCTTTGAGCTGGGCAGGTGAGGCCTGGCTCATGTTTGCCTCAGTGCCTGACACTGTAGGGCCTAAAGGTCCTTGGGTACGTATGGCCCTCTACCTTGTCTCATCCAGGTAATGTCGCTCCAAACCCTAGGGCAGTGACCACAGCAGTCCATACCTCTGCCACGCAGGGTGATGATGCCAGCCATCGGCAGGGCACTGGGGGGGGGGTGAAGCCAAAAGAATCTGGAGGGTCCTGGGTGAGTCCTAACCCTCCTCCACTGTGCACATTTCCAGCCTCTGCAACCTCTTGGGCCTCCCTGACCCAGCCCAGACCCCAGGGTGCAGCCACAGCCTTGTCACAGATGATTGATAGCAACTCTCTGACAGCCCCTTCCCCATGTCCAGGGCCTCCACCATCCCTAATCTGCTTCATCAGTAGCACTGAATAAACCAGCCCCAGGCTCCTTCCTTCTCCCTTCCCAGGCTCTGCTGGGTGATTTATTTTGGTGCAGGCCCCTGCTGAGATGTAGGTAGACAGGGACATGACCCGAGGTGTCCCCTCCTGAAGGCCACCTCCTACAGCAGTGTGCTGTAAGCCTCAGCCTGACCTGGCCCCTGCTCTGACTGCAGGGGAGGGGTCGCTGGACACAGGACTTCCCTGGGTGGGTGGAGTGGGAAGGGGACTCTGGACTCTGCTCACACAGTCATTCTTCAGACCCCTACAGTAGCCTCCACCCCACTCATAGGGCTCTCTAGACTGGGATTTTACAACCCTTTAGCAAGAGGTCCTCCTGGTAAGGAAGGACCCTTGTACCCCCTTGATATGCAGCTCACGTACCTCCACACTGAATCCCTGAACTCTGCTCAGATCGCTCTACCTCCTCCACCCACCACAATCATCCCTCCCAGTGACCCGGTGCCCAGCTCTGCCTGCAGGCAGAGAGGAAGAGGCCAAGGACTGCTGGCCCGAGCCCCTGACCACCAATCGGGCCCTTCATGTCCTTCTGAGTCCTCCATAGCCCTCCTGGCCCCTATGGGTCTTCTAAGTGCTGTAGTCTCTTCTTCACCTCAAGCGGTGCTCTCTGGCTCCAGCTCCCCACATTCCCCTCCTTGTGGTGGGGGGCTCCCCGGGCCCCTCCCCTTCCTAGGGCTAAGCCTGTCCCAGAGAAGAGCAAATGGGAGTGGGCTAGAAGAAGTGGACGGTGGGGTAGATCCCAGGCTGCCTGGGAGGTATTTGGTGACGGCATCTCACAAATTCCTCTTCAGGGGCGCAAAGGAGCCACCACCCCGCTCCCACCCAGCCTCTTGCTGCTCTCCCCCGACCCTGGCAACCGACTGAGAAGCTGCACCAGGCCCAGCCAGCCGCTGCTTTGGCTCCCCTTCTCTCCTGAAGAAACTGCAGCCCAGTCCCTGTCCCGTGGGTCACCCTGTGCCTGTCTGGAGCCAAGCTTTAGCCACGAGGCCATCCGTGACCAAAGTGAAGACCCTTGTGGAGGGCAAAGACAGCCAGCCAGGCAGGAACAGAGAACAGATGACTGGACACAGACAGAGGCAAGTCTGGGGACAGAGAGGGGTTCAAGGCACAGAGGTTCAGCAGGGCAGCCAGATGGACCCAGCCTGGGCACAGGCAACAGAGCCCGGTGTGGGCAGGAGGTCAGTGGTGCCAGAGCAAAGTGGTGACTTTCTCAGAGCCAGGCTGGAGTCGGGGCCAGGGTGGCCTATCCCTTGGGGTGACCTGCCCTTGGGGATACCGTCTGGCTGGTGTGGAGGGGCACGGTACTCACTGTTAGATGGGAGTGGAGTGGTGGCTGACAAGCCTGGAGTGTCGTGCCCACCTCAGGCTGGGGCTGGAACTCTGGGGGACTTGGCCGGCGGGGGGGCCGGGCCACAGAGACAGCTGCTGCCGCTGATGTCACAGGGTCATGAGTGAAACCTGAGGACCGGGCCAATCTTCAGGTGGGAGCCTCCGCCACACTGCCCTCTTGGGGTGTTCAGGGCTCAGCCTCGGAGCACTAGACTCTGGAGCCTCAGTGACCAGAGTGACAGGCTGTGACACACTCGGCTACACACACACACACATGCACGTATGTACACACATATCCACATGGGTACACATATGAGCCCCTCCCCCCACAGGTCCTCCTAGCTCGACAAATGTACACAGGTTCATTCTCACACTTGCTCTCCTTTCACACTCACTACCAGAAACGCTCCCTGGCACAGCCGGCTCACACACTCACAGTCACTCAGGCACACACACGTCCCCTCCAGGAACAGACGCTGCACTCCCCTAATACTCAGCTGCATACAAGAATCACTCGATACATCCACAAACAGCGGTTACCCCATCGCACACGCACCAGCTCACTAGTACACAGCCCCAGGCTCACATCAGGCCTGTACATATGTACTTGGCTTGTACACGAATACACAGGGCCATGTGTGCTCGCGGGCACACTCACACCCAGATGAACACAAATGCCACATGTCACTGATACGGATCTTTATTGAGTGCTTACGGGTTCTGTTTTCACGAATGTGACTTACCTGTTAGTCACCTGTACCCATTTACATGCTCTGTTCCCAGGAACACAGGGCCACCCGTCATGGTCACTAGATTTATAACAAGTGTGTGCTCACATATACACCCCTGCTTGCACATCACACTCTCTGTTTCACTCCCAGCTGTTTAGCCACACTGCACAGCTGTCTCAAGGGGCATTTCTCCATCTCCTGTATCCCCCCACCCCCACCTACTGGCTAGACATTTGTCCCTCAGGGTTTGGGCAGCCTGTGTGGGGACGTGGGGGGGGGGGTGGGCGTCTGTTTTACCACCCCTCCCCCATGCGCCACTCTGAGGGTGTGGTGACCCCTAGTGGAGGAATTGTGAAATGCTTCATCTCAGAGCGGCTCCCAGGCATCTGGCTGAGGCCGGGCGGTGTGTGTCTGTCTGGGTTAACTCCTGCCCTCACTCTCCCCAACAGTCAGCCTGGCCGACCTGGGACCATTCCTGCCCATCCCTCCTTTTCTGGCCGCTCAGGGCTCTGGCTGTGCTTGGTGCCCCCATGAACTGAGCCCTGGACAAGGTGTCTGTTGACAAGGACTCGGGGAGGCTGTCAAGTAGTGATCTCGAGCTCCAGGGCTGGACTCTGTCCCTGTAGCCAGCCTGCCCAAACTGTGGACACAGCCTCAGTCACCCCTGAGGCCTTCCCTGGGGCCAGGCCCAGCTCCTTCTGGAGTAGTTCTTGCTGGGACTGGGACTTCCCGTAGATTGGCCCCAGTCCAGGTGGCCACTGTGGGCTCCTGGAGAAAGTTGCCTACCTACTGAGAGTTAATTTGTTTTCCAAATCTGGGTGTGAGTGCTGGTCTGTGCATGATCCTTTATCCTGCCTTGCTCCCTGGCCTCTCTCATAGGCAGTTCTCCTGTTTTTTGATAAGATCAGGTACGTTTGGGGCGATAAGGCCGTGGACTGTTCTTTGCTTTTTGAGACAGTCTAGTTATATGGTCCAGGCTGGCCCTGAACTCACTATGCAGCCCAAGTTGACCTCGAACTTTTAGTGATCCTCTTGCCTCATCCTTCCAAGTGCTGGGATTACAGATGTGTGCCACCATCCCCAGCTCTCACTTGGTTTCATTAATAGAATCCAAGTGTTGCCCACCTCGCCTCTTCTCTGCAAAGGTCAGCTTTTTCTAGCATTCAGAGGAAGCACATGCGTTGCTTCTCATGTCCCTCCCAGCTGCCTCCCCAAAGCTGTTCCTCAGGGTCCCCCTCATCACTGCCAGCCCTGCTGTGACATCAGTTCACTTTACTGCTGGTTACTGTCTGCAACTTCTGGTTACTGTCCCCTGTTGTCTGTGGGCACTGGCTAGGAGAGGGGAGGTGGTGGGAACCAGCTGTTGTTTTCACTTATAGCTCTGCCCCTTTGGTCCCCGCCTGGACACTTTGGCCACCTTCTAAAAGCTCTGTGGAGTAAATGTTCTTTAATGGGGGATTAATCAGGAGGAACTTCCACCTTACAAGAAGGTAGAGCTGCTACATTCGCTTTCTGGGTTGTGTCCTGCCCAGTTCTGAGCACTAATTCCATCTGAAGTTGGACTAATAGATTAGTCTATTTAATATTTTTCGGCAAAATGTATAGCGGAATGTATACTTTTTCTAATTTGCACAAAGTGTCATCTGGATTAGGGATGGGGCTGCCCAGAAAACGAGAGCAGTGTGATAAACATGATTTTGTTCCATAGCCTGAGGCGAACGTACTCTTCCCTGTCTTTTTTTTTGTCTGTTTCTTTTTTATTGGTACCAGGGATCGAACTCACGACTGCCTGCTTGCAAGGCAGGCGCTTATGCCGCTGAGCTAAATCCCTCTTCCCTGTCTTGGAAACAGCTCTTTTAGCTCCCCTGAATGTATGAAATTCAAATGCTGATTTCCTGGTGGCCACCCTCCCTGTGTCATGGGGTGGCAGTGTCACCCAAATCTGACCAGGGCTCTTGGCCACAGGGGACGACGGTCCAAAACCTGGGCCAATCATAACCCTTCCCTGGGATTTATAGGCACCCAGACATAAAGAAAGATTCTCTCTCAGAAGTCTTTGAATCTGGCAGAAGTAACCAGAGTAAACGGGAATGTTCCAGAAGCAGGGAAGTTCTTTTGTAGAAGGAAGGAGACAACCAGATGGAGAATGAGGGATGCAGGTGATTCGGAAGGAAGAAGTGGAGAACAACCAGAATCAGACACATTTTAGAGTTCCTGAGCCAGGCAGACTACAGACTGCTGTATTACTGTCCTATCATAAGCTGAAATTCCACACTTTTTCCTTAAACTAATTAGACTGAGTTACAGTCATTGATAAACAAAATTTTGCAAAATAGAACCTCTTCCGGGAAAATCTCACTCTGACCCACAGGGACAGCCTTGTCACACCCACCATGGAGCTGAGTCATTTGATCAGTATGCTTTGATTTCCTGGGGACTTCAGCAGGATGCCCCTCATGCTTGGTGGCCCCTAATTCCAGGATCCTAGGAAGGATCCAGGAAGTGCTCTGGAACTCCATCTCATAGTGCAATCCCAGAGGGGTGGGACTTTGAAACCAGGTCTCTATCCCAGGACATCCCCTGACCTATTTGTAAGTCCTCAAAGTGCCACGGGGTGCTTGTTGAACAAAATCACACACAAATCTCTCACAAGGACAACTGTAATTTGCAGAAATAGTGCAGTCAGAGCTTCTAAGCAGAAACATGAAATTCTTTTCACTGTTGTATTTCTAGGGCTCCGTCCTTCCCACATAGCCTCTGTTGGTCACATAACTGTGTCACTGACAGAATTCTGCAGAGCCAGATCTAATCCCTTTTAACCTTCATATTCTAGTGCTTTTAGGACCTGGCCTCAAGGGAAGAACCCTCTGCTTGACTGCTCTGTCTCATCACTGCCTTCTCAATTGTACCAGAAATAAGCACTGACATTTTTCTCTTTCCACCTAAAGAGAAGAGGAAAGCTCATTTTTCCAGGCCCATGGCTTTTAATGACCGTACCCCATTCCTCTGAGTGAGCTGCCCCTATTTACTCAGCTACTCTCCTATTACTGGACATTGAGTAATATTAAATTTTTAAATCTTAAAAATAACACTGCTGGGGCTGGGATGTAACTCAGTGGCACAGTGCCTGCCTGGTAAGTACAAGGCCCTGAGTTTGATTCCCACTGTGATGAACATGTTTGAGTACAAATCTTTGTCCATGTGTAGTCTATTCGTAAGAATTGATTTGCCAAGACAATAGGCAGGACAAATTGCCTTGGGACATTATATGTTGGTACAGATTGTCTTGGGACAAACACACACTCCCAAAACAAAACAGTCTAAAGATGTAAACAAGGGTCCTCGTTAAGGAAAAAAATTAAGGAGAAATAGGCAGTGTGTTCAGTCCTTGAAAGAAAATAATAGTAGGCACAGAAGTTTTGGCAGGTTACCTCCTCTGCTCTGCTAAGACTGATGTAAGCTCTCCTCCAAGCTCGCCCTCTCCAAACAGCAAATGTTTTGGTTTCTTTTGACAAAGAACTCAAGTTGAATACCATGAGGGAGAGAGTTTTCATCTGAGCCTTCTTTTCCAAAAACACATGTTCTGCATAATGTTAGCATGCAGTTTTATGGGGACCTCTCCCTACCAGCTTTCCACAGCCACCTCTAGCCTGCACCTGGCTCCCTCTAGAGGGACAAAAGTGGTGGGCTTCTGGCCATCCTCCCTGTCACCAACTTGGCCTCAGCTGAACCCTTTGGCCATTTTATATTCAGAAGATTTTTCTTCAATGTCTATTTTGGTACTTAATTTTCCTGAACTGAAAGTATTGTAGAGAAAGTACAGTAGCCTTTCCCAGAAATTTTCAGCATCTGGGATAACACAGGAGGGAAGCTGTGGCGAAACCAGGGCTGGCGTCTTGGGAGACATTCCCCCAAAGCAGAGTCTGAGGCAAGGATTTGGGAGCAAGTAGTTTATTTGGAAGGAGACACCAGGAAGCAGTGTGACAAGAGTGGAGGATGGTCAGGAAAGAGAAAAGTCAGCAAGGTGTTTAGGAGCAGGCTCTCTTGGGAGAAACTAGAGTGCAAGCCTGTGAGGCTCCGAGCCTGTGTGGACTACACTTCAGCGTTGTCCCACAGGGGCAGGGGGCGCTGAGAGCCTTTCTGCAGCTGGATTACCAGCTCTCTTGCCACACACACACTTATGTGCACATGTACTTGTATATGTGTTGGCGGCGTGCTGGGATTGAACTCAGGGCCTTTTGTTTGCTAATCCTACGGTAGAGAGGCTCAGCTCTGCACATATGATCATAAAACAAAAATAAGACATCACAGCTGGGCATGGTGGCTCATGCCTATAATCCCAGCACTCGGAAGGATGAGGCGGGAAAATCATTGTAATTTTGAGAGCAGCCTTGGCTACAAAGTGAACTCAAGGCCTGAACTGCATAGCGAGATTCTGTCTCAAAAAGGCACACACACACACACACACACACACACACACACACACACACACACAAGATATCACTATGCCTCCTGGTTTTTCCATTCAGCTCTGTTGGACGTCCTTCCACATCAATAAAGATACACTAAACCAAGATGGTCAGCAGTCAAGGAGCATTCCTTTGGGAGACTCTATACCCTAAGACATTTGTTATTTTGAACTTTGACTGAAATAAACAGAAATGTGGAGACCAAAATGAATTTTCCTAAAACATGGTTGTGCATATCACCTCTTGTTTCTCTTCTGCTCAGAACCCATTCATGGCTCCATTACCCATGCGATGATGGTAATGCCAAAACTTGGCATTCGAGTCTGACCCATGAATAACCTGTGTCTGCTCCTCTACCACCCAAACAGTTGGACCTTGTGGGTCATTTAGGTCTTGTCTGTCACTACATCTGAGCCTGGATGGCCTCTTCTCTCCCATGCTGCTTGGCTAAGACCAAATGCTGCGTTCCTCAGCTTTCCATCCCCCAGTGACTGAGCCCTCATTGTTCTTTTTAATGTTGAGTATTTCTTGTGTACTTTAATATATATGTATACACAAAATTCTTCCAAAGAGTTGTGATCTTTATATGAACATTTAAGAATACATTAATTAATCAATTTGGCTTGTATTTTTCTTTTACATTTTCATAATAGTATATGATATTTTTTAAAGAAAAAACTAAAAAAGAGTAATATATGATAAATGTTTATGTCAAAATTAATCCTTCAGAGATATTTTTGTTTTGTTTCTGCTTTTTTTTTTTTTTACAGTGAAATTGGCACAGAACTTCACAGCAGGTTACCAGGATAACAGTAATAGGTATCACAGTTATATTTTGTTATCTTTATAATAGTTGTTCTTTCAATTATGTATATCAAAATGAGATGAAATATAGAATACTATAGAACTTATCAAAACAGAATATTGAATAAAGCAGTACCATTAATCAGAAAAGAACAAAACAGTAATAAAAATATTTGCCTTCAAAAAAATGGTATTTGCTATGGTCAACCTCCCAGGAGATGCTCAGATTTCTGGTTCCCATTTGCTGATGGCGGGGAGGGGATAGGGGAAGTGGGATATTTGACTCTAGGCCATGTAGCAGTAGGCTCACTATTGCTTAGCAGGGAGGCAAGATGGTCATTTGTTGTCACAGCATCCTCAGTTCCAACATGGCGTGGATCTCAGGAGACACTGCTGGTTCTCCCCCTGGAAGGGCTGCAGTCTGCCACCCTGCCTCCACTTACCAGGGAGGGGAGGTGCTTGCTTGGCTTCCCAGAGTCCTAAGTTCCATGGCGTGGATCTTAGGAGACACTGCTAGTTCTCCCCCTGGAAGGGCTGCAGTGGGCCACACTGCCTCCGCTTACCAGGGAGGGAAGGTGCTTGCTTGGCTTCCCAGAGTCCTAAGTTCCAACATGGCGTGGATCTCAGGAGACACTGCTGGTTTTCCCCCTGGAAGGGCTGCAGTCGAGCCCTCAGTTTTTTGTTGTCCCTTCTTGGGTATCTTCTGCACTGGGGATTCTACATGACCTTGTATTTCAGCTCTCTTTTGATGGGTCTATCTTTACTTCTCTATAGAGCTAGACCAGGGTTCAGGTAGGCACCTGCACCACAGCCACAACCTTGGTGACCACAGTGATTGATTTTGTTCTGGAATTAGGTAGAGCAGTGTGTTCCACTTACTGGGGGCCTATGACCACTGGATCTCAGCATGCTGAAGGCTATTGAAGTGACAGGATCAACAGAGACAGCTAATGCACTGCCCCCTCTTTGGGTGACAGGACAAAGAAGCAAAGGCAGGAGATGGGGTGGGAGATGTCTGCGATTCCAGACTCCAGGACTGCCAGGAAGAGGAGCTAAACCCAAGGGGAGGGTGGGGGAAGGGAAACTCCCAGGGTGTTAATCCCAGCTTCCTGTCCGGATTTTCCTTGACTGCTGCTCAAGGCCTATCTTAGCATGGTCACAGCTGCCGAAATAGATCTCCCCCTTCACCTGTTCTTAAGCAATGGAGACCTTGCTAACTTCCTGTCAGAAAAACACATACTTTCTAACTTTTCCAATATAGGGGGCAGGATTGGGGACTGCTACATTTCTCCACCTCCAAGGGATAAAGGCTCAGAGATCAGGGAGCAAACGGTCAAAATAAAGAACCACAAATGCATTTTTGGCCAGAGCTCCATCCTCTTCTGTGAATTTGGCATGTTTCCTTTCTGGTCTTCTTTAGAAACCACTCTGTCCACAGGACATCCTCCTCCTGAGAGGCAGGGAGCCCATCTGCCGCCCTTCTCACCCACCTGCCCCTCACACCCAAGTCAGCCCCTGCAAGACTCTATACCTGCTGAGCCTGTCAGCTGAGCTAGGGGTCTAGGTCCTGGAAACCAAGTCTACCTAGCAACTCACTCATTTATTCAACAGACATGGCCTCCCCGCCCAGTACTGCGAGTGAGTAACCATGACAGGTACAGCAGGAGAAAAGACACAACGCTCCAAAAACCCAGCACAGGAGAGAGGATGTAAGTCCTAAGAAACAGAGGAGCTGATGGAAGAAATTAAAACTATGCCCCGCCCCTTTCCCACCCCTTTCCCCGCCCCGCCCCGGCCTCGCCCCAGACAGGGTCAGACCCGCGCATGCGTGGGAGGAGTCTTGCCCTGGCGTCGGCGTTGCCGAGGTAACCCAAATCAGCGACTGCAAGCCATGGCTTCCGGGGCCAGCAGGAGCTGGGGTCGCGTTCCACCACAGCTTGCGGCCACGTCGGTGAGGGCTGAACTGGAGAGCAGAGCCTGCCTTTCATGGGGCAGGCATGGGTTGGGGGCAGGGAGAGTGGAGGAGCAGCCTCGGGAGAGGCTGGATTCTGGAGGTGGGGATGAGAGGCCAGGTTCCAAACCGCGGGAAAGATACGGGACAGGAAGAGGCGAGGCGGTGAGAGCGAAGAGGCGAGAACTCTGCGCGTGGAGTTAGGGAGACGACTCACGGGACGGGGTGGGGTGTGTTGGGATCACGACGAGCGCCTTGCCTTCCTCACCTGGCCTGGCTGAGCGTCCTCACCCGTGTCCCCAGCCCTCAGTGACCATCCTGCAGCCCCTACCTTTGATCGTCTCTGGTCCACCCCCGCAGCAGGGCAGCGTGAAGGAAGGTGAGACCTGGGAGCGCCCTCACATACGCTTTCCGCCCCTTACGCGCGCACGCTGTCTCTGTCTATCTGGCTTCCAGGCCGAGAAAGGCCCTGAAGGTGCTCTGGGTGAGGGAGGTGCAAGGGGGGCCATGCCAGGGTGGGTCTGTTAAACCCATACTGGACCTCCAGATCTGCTGGAATTGATGTCGCTGCAGAACGCGCAGATGCACCAGTTGCTGCTGAGTCGCCTGGTGGCAGGGGCACTGAGCCCTGAGCCAGACTCCCAAGGTCAGCAGGTGCGTGGGGGTGCCTCGCCCAGTGCAGATCCCCCGCGCTTTGGTTTGGTGCTCAAGGATTGGGCCCAGAGAAGCAGGAAGCTAAGCTACACCTGTCTGGGTGGGTCCCTTTGATGGCTATCATGGACCAAGATTTGTGTCAGACTTCATGAAGGAATAACAGGTCCCCAGGTCTAGGCTCCCGGTCAGGTTATGTAGTGCATGCTCCTCTTGGACCCCAGGCCGCAGGAGGGTAGGCACCATTGGATGCTGGTGTGTCCACCCTCCCAGTCAGCAGGAGACAGGATGCAGGGGACAAGAGGGGGAAACACTAAGGCTGAGCCTATTTGTCAGCAACGGGAGACTGAAGAGGCCTGAGGGCAGGCAGCCTGGAGAACAGAGGCTCCAGGGAGCCAACAGGCATTCGAGGACAGGCCAGTGGAATCTAAGAAGAGGGAGACTTCAAGGAGTTGCAGTGATCCCTCACCTCCCCCAGGGGTCCTGGGGATGAACACCCCACTTCATTGAGTGACGCGGGTGGGCCAGGAGCTGGGGACAAGGCCAGGAGTAGCTGGGTATACTCGGAGCCCCAGGTTGGCTTCATGCCTGAATTTCTTCCAGCCCCACTCTGCCATTTATTAGTTGGGGGACCTTAGACAAGTGGTTCAGCCTCTCGGAGCCTTGTTTTTCCCATCTCCAAATAAAAAATAAATGTCTGCACAATACCAGGCTTTTATATAGTAAACACTTATTAAATGGTAGCCATTATGATGAGGGTTATCTGGAGAAAATAAGGAGAGAAAGAGTGGAGCTGGGGTGGAGAAAGCCTGACCCTGAGTCATCGTCCGCTCCCCCTTTGCACACACCTCAGGTCTACCTGGAGGGGCAGCAGGAAGAGCCAGAGGAGGAGATGTGTATCCGGCAGGAAGCGCCCTTGGTGTTCCACCACTACTACCTGCCCTACCCAGTGGCCTCCGTGGGCCCCTTGGCCCTCTGGCCAGCGGCTCTCCTTCCTTTCCCCTTGAGCCAACCCTACTCCCAGGCTATGCCAGGAATCTGGCAGCAGCCTCCTGCTTCTGGGAAAACGAAGATGTAAGTGAGCTGGGGGTCTGGGCAAGTATCTGCTTGGGGGCTGGACTGAAAGAGCTAACCAGGGCCCTGTGGGCTTCTGAAGGGGTCTTTCTTCTCTGTCCCCCCCCCCCAGGAGAGCTGTGCCGCCACCCCCGCCCCCCAGTGCTACAGAGACCGTGGGTGTAGATGTGCCGCCAGCTTCAGGTAGGGGGCTGGATGGATGAGCAGTGGGGCCTAGGCCTATCAGGCCAGGAGGGTCGAGAGCCGGGGTGGGGCTTCCCGGCCTCGTACCATCACTGCTATGGGCACTGGCCTGACTCTTTCTTGGTTCCTCTGGAGTCAACTGGGGCGGGAGGGATGCAAGATGGAGGTGCTGTCTCCCCAGACTACTATGATGCTGAGAGCCTGCTCTGAGGATGGACGCTCGCAGGGGTCCTCACCAGATCCAGCGCAGGCCTGAGAAGTGCCCTGTAGTCTCCAGCTGCCTGCTACTGTCTGCTGACGCTGCACCCATGCTGGCAGCCCTCTTCTCTAGGGGTGGGGATCCACCCTCTCCGCTCCACTGCCACCCTGAACTGGCCTGGAAGAGATCCTTCAAGCCTACACAGTGGCCCCAAAGCCGCATAGCCCTACTCTGTCCCCTGGTTTCCTGCCTAGACCAGCCAATGCTCCCACACTATAAGCCCTAGCCTACCTCTGTCCCTTTCTGCTCTGGAACAACAAAAGCTGTGAGGTCACTTTCTGGATTAAGAATCAGGCAGGAGGCAAGAGGAAAGGGCTGCTCCTGTTTCTCAAGCTCCTTGAAGCTCCCTTGAGTGGGAGAAGCTGAGTCAGTGCCCTTGGGACCCCACAGGCAGCCCAGGGAGCTGATCTTGGCAGCCAATAGAGGCCCAGCTCGGCCCTACTTCTTCCCCAGGAATGGCCTGAGGTCCCATGGGGCCAAGTTCCCAAGTGGGAACAGTGTCCTTTGCCCCTCCAGGCCAGGGTGTTTCCTTGCCCTCCCTCAGTAGCACTTAGTGGCCCAGACCAGAATGAGAGGGGTCATGTGGTGCCTGGTCTGCTCAGTGACAGTCTTCTGGAGCTGGGCTGGCTGCAGCCCCTGAAGGCTCCTGAGACGAAGAGGACAGGGAGGAGACACATCTAGGGACAGAAGGCCATGCCTGTTCTTCCCCTTCCCAGGAGCAGCTGTGGAGGAGACAGGTTAAGTCCAGGTGTTTGTATTCAGGCTAGAAAAAGAAATGTCCCCAGAGTCCCATGCTGCTGTCACAGTCCATCAGCCAGGCTGGATCCCAGCTCCGAGGAGCTATGCTAGATTCTAGCAGCCACCATGGGGGCTGCCCCGTGGCTCATGCGGGCTGCCCCCGGAAGGCCTGGGGCAGCCTCTGCCAGGCAGCCAGTACCCCATAGAAGCCTGTCTCCCTCCGGCACTGGTGCTTGCCAATGATACCGCAGAGCAGGATGGATGTCACAAACAAGAACAGCAGAAGTGATGTGACCGCGACAATGATGACCATCTGGTTGTCCTGCACAGGCTCTGGGGAGGAAATAGATGTCTTAGAAGACTCAGGTGCCAGCGTGTGGCAAAGGATCAGATGTCTACCCCTCACCCTGCACCCACTTATTGATCCTTCAGTCATCCTGCTTTCCAAGAGGAGTGGCCCATGGTGTCTGCCTTCAGAGTGCCAGCTAGAAGAAAAGTGGCCCAGGCTGCAGCCACCAGCCAGACCTCTGTGATATGGTGAGGGCAGAAGTTCCCTGGGACCAGAATATGGTGACCAGACACCGTGACACAGTCCTTCCCCCTCCACAGGCAGAGCAAACAGAGCCCCCCCAGGGCAGGGAACACTTTGGCCATGGTCATGGAACACAGGACTTGGGGACCTCTGGGATAGACAGGCCACACTGTGGAGAGAAGTCAAAGATGGAAAGCAGGGGTTGCCTTGGTCAAGGTCACACAGCTGGATAATGAGCATGCGGCTAATTGAGCTCTCATGACTTCTAGAATAGTCAGGATCCAGGGTGAGGGCTTAGCAAAAGAATCAAGGAAGGATGGGAGACTTTAGGGTTAAGTGTGCACCCTAACTGGCCTGAGAGTAGCACTCAGGTTTTTTTCTCCTTACAAGAGGCCCAAAAGCCAATGGGACCCATCCTCTCCCTGGGATCTGATTACCATAGACCTGGAGGACCTGGGGCTCCGAGATGCTGCGGATGAGGTCCCCGCCTCTAGACCTCAGGTCCAGCTCGGCCTGGCAGGAGAAGTTGAGGGGACCGCTGCCTTGCGGAGCAGTGCTGATGACTGTGGTTGCGGCTTCCAGGGGGACAGGCGCTGCCCCGACAAAGGTCTGGTTGTGCACAGTCTCTTGGCCACGGAACACGGTGAGGGTAAGACTCTCGAGGGGTTCCACAGCAGCCACCCTGCACTCAATGGTGAAGGATGTGCCCACGGCCACCCGTGTGGGCTGCAGCTTCAGCATGACCTGCTTTGGAGGCTCTGCAGGGGATGGAGGAAATAGGACTGGGGTGAGCCCTGCAGGTCCCACCCAGCCAGGGCACCTGACACCCGAGGTGATCCAGCTCCCTAGCTGCCCTTGTGAGGGAGAGAATGGTCTGGGATCTGGCCTGCTCTGGTGCAGAGAAGAAAAAGGAGCAGTCCAGGGTGAGGATGTGCTTGGCGGTAGTTTTATGGTCATGATTTAGAGAATAGACAAGACCGGTGAAGAAAAGGCTCTGAACTTGTACAACCAACTTGGAAGATATAAAAGCTTGGATCTGTGCGTCTCCCTCCTCTACAGGTATATTAAATACAAATATTAAAGGTTAAAACAATTGGTAAGTCAAGATCCTGTATACCCTCACCCCACGCAGGAAATATGAATAAAATGTAAATTTGGGGCCTCTTTCTATGCACTGGATCCACTGATACTGGTTATAGGAAGCCCCAGTGAGCCCCGTACAGTCAAGATGAGAATCCCAGCCTGTTTGGAAGGTTTTCCTGGGACCTTCAGGAGAAGAACATACCAAGTGACAGCTCCTCATGAAGTGATGTGTGTCCAGGAATGTCTCCTGACATTCCTTCCCTCCTGCTTGTCACACATGTATGGTACCCTGGTGTCGAGCTGGAGGGAGGCTAAGAACACGTGCAGCTAGAAGACTTGGTTTGAGTGAACCTCAGACCGTTCTCCTGGGCACAAGATTCAGAACTGGATTGTTTGCTCAGGGACCATGAAGGGTGTCGTTTTGCAGTCTGAGCCCACTGCCCCACCCTGCTGCTTGTCACCAGGGCAGTGAGGGCTGTAATGAGTGGAGCTAGAGAAGACCCCACTGCACTCATAGGCACAGGCTCTGCCCTGGGAGAGAAGCCCCCCAAACATGCACGCATGCAGCCACTCACGGTACACGCTGATGTTCAGACTCTTTGACAGTGTCTTCCCGGCACAGGAGAAGAAGCAAATGACCTTTGTGTCTTTAGAGATGTTTGAGACCAAGTACTGTTGCCACTGTGGCTGGTGGTCCACCAGCTTCTTAGTCAGGTAGGTCTCCAGACCACCCCTGTCAGGCTGGGCACAGCTGGTGCTGCAGTTGACTCTCTTAGATCCTGTGGGCTCAACCACCAACTTCTCTGGCCATATGTGAACCTCAAATGTCATCTCAGCAGGCCCTGGAAGGTCAGAAACACTGGCAGGTAGATATCCCCACTGCCCTGCCAGGGGAGTGCTCTGCCAACAGGGGGTTCAAAGCCATGGATGATCCCTCTGTTCAATTCCTGGCTCAACCCAGGAGGCAACCTTCCAGCCGCTCCCTGCCTCTGGGTGCTCCCTCCAGTGCCTCTGCCAGTCGGCTCCACTGAGTCTTCCTCAGGCTCATGGTCCACCTCTGTCAAGGTGCACCCATTGTCCCCTCCTCCGTGAAGACCTCTCTGAGAAAGGAGGTGGGCTCTGAGCTATGTCCCCTGAACTGTGTGGCCCTGGGTTTAACCTCCCCTTCCTGATCTTTCTTCCCTAAGTGCTTCTGAACACCTGTCATGTGCTAGGCACTGTACTAGGCTCTGGGGACACAGCAGTGACCAAAGGTGACCAGCAGCAGAGCACATGCTGTAGTGAGGCCCCTACAGAGCTAGAGCCCCTGTCTGTGAGGCAGTGGCAGGGACAAGGACAGGGAGTGGAGTGTGGTCAGCGAAGGCCTCACAAAGAGGGGGGCATAGAAGGGGGTGGTGAGCCCTGTGGGTGTTACTGGGTATTCTGGGAGTGTTCCAGGCACATGGAATCATGGCACAGAGACTTTCCTGTGGGAGTGTGCTTGGGATTTTGGAAGCAACAGGAAGATCAGGGTGGTCAGAGCTCAGTGAGGAGGAAGGCAGGGGAGAGGAAGACAGACTGGTAAGGGTCGCCTTGAAGCACTGTCTCGTTGAACACTCATGACGGCCCTACAGGAAACGACTACTAGGCTATCTGACAAATGAGAAAACCCACAGTTTTGCTTTTGGCACAGCCAGTGGGTGATGCCCGTTACCCCAGCTGATGCTTAGACTAGTTTAAAAGACAGGCTAGGTGTACACCATCATCTTCTTTAGGTCCCCAGCACCCCTTCACCTCCAGGGCAACCCTTCTCCACAGCCTGCCGCACCAACACACCCTGAAGTTGGGGGCCCTGTTTTGCCTGGTATCCAAAAGGCCAGGACCCCACCCACTGCCTGGAACCACAGTGACTCAAAGCCAGGCCACCACAGCATCCTGACCCCACCGCAGAATGTGGTCTGTGTTCAGAACGGCAGCGGATTTCTTCCTTCCTTAAAGCTCAGGGCACAAAGCGACACCCTGCCCTGGGCAGCCCCACACCAGGAACCCTGGGTCCCAGCTCACCTGAACAGCAGAGCAGGCTGAGAAGGGCCACAAACAGGTCCCAGAAGCCAAAAGAAGACATTCCTGGTGGGGTCGGCGGACTGCCGGGGACCAGAGAGCTGCCTAGATGGAGCCAGGTAGGCTGCACTGCTCGGAAAGGCCCCCCCGCCTGAAATTCCCAGTTTCCTATATGCTGGTGACAGAACTTCCTCTCATTAGCTGAGGTCAGGAAGCCATGTGTACACTGTCAGATTCCAGGTCCCTGCCAGAACAGGCAGAGGAAGCTAGAGAGCAGCTGATAAGCTGGGGCACAGCCTAGGGCTCCCCACCCCCGGGGAAGGGGCAGGGCAAGGGGTGCAGCGCACATGCGTTTGCGTGTGTCCATCTATGCACGGGAGATTCCTGCGTGCCTGTGTGCACATGGCACAGTGAGGCCTACAGGGTGCAGATCTGGAGCACCCCAAATTCTATGCAGCCCTTTGTTGGCGGTACTTCTGGGAAGGAACAATCAAAAGTCAGGATACCCACTCGCCATGGCAAAGGGGCAGAGAGCCAGACCTTTCAAAAGAAACCCAGACAGGACTTTGGAGTTATCCTGCAGACATGCAGCATGCAGTCTGCACAAAGCTTGATGTGCCACTTGGTTCCCAAACGAAACCTGTGCCTGACTCAGCTGACCCAAGGCCCAAGTGAGGACCAGGCTTCAGCAAGTCCAGTCCACAGCAGTTCCAGTGGCCAGGCCCAGGGAAGCAGGAGTCAGTGTGCAGCAGCCGACCCCAAACCCCAATCTCCATCTCAAGAGCCTGCCTCTGGTGTCCACCCCCCCCCCCCCCCCCCCCCCCCCCCCCGTCCGCCAGGGAGAACCCTTGCCTGGGACTCCTCCAGGCAGCAGCCTGTTTCTAGCGAGGCTTCCTTGCACGTTCAGGAATCCCAGTAGGGACTCTGTGCGGGACTCTGATGGACTCACCACACATCCTTTACTCTTCCAGTTTTTCCTGCGATCCCCAGACAGTGGAAAGACAGGTCACTTTGCTTTCTGAGGACACTCCATTGGAGGCCTTTCAAAGGGAGGCCCCTGAGTCTTGGAGGCTGGGGCCTACGCCCAAGTCAGTTTGAGAGAACACAGGTAGGTCCTGCCCTCACTGCTGAGGCCAAAGGCCGCTGCTACTGCGCACAGTCATCTAGTGCTGCTTCATCAGCCTGGCCCAGGGAAGTCCCTGGACCAGGATATTGGGCTTTGGAATGATGCTGATGCTGGGGCGGAGGGGGGCGGGAGGGCAGGGCCTGGGATCAGTAGAGAAAAGAGGCAGAAGGAAGGGAATGGGGGATACTGGAGCCCTAGCCAGGAGGGATCTGATCTCACCTGAGGCTGAGCACAGTTTTCCAGCCACGGGGAAGGCAGAGCAGGTGAGCCCAGCGGCTTGGACTGCTGGGTAGGGGGATGGGAGGCACTGCTGTAGTGAGCCTCCCCTGGGTCAGAGTTATAACACAACAATAACACCACAGCCATGGGTACAGCCAGCTTTGCTACAACGGGCTAAACTTCAGGAAATTCATCCTTAGGCAACTCATGGTAGAGTGCACGTCACAGCGCTCCCACACGGACCTCGATGCTGTGGGCTGTGGCACAGTGTTCCTAACTGTGCACGCTAGGCTTTCACAACCAGCAGTGCCACAGGTTTGCTTACACAAGCATGTGAGGAGTGCGGTGCACTAGGAAGGTGTAATGGCTCTGATGCTGCTAGGGGACGGGGAATTTCAGCTCCACCGTAACCTTATGGGGCTGTTGTTCTAGCCGTGGCTCACTGACCCAAACACTACGACACAGCACGCATCACTGACTTCAGGTTGCTGTCCACACTCTGCAAATATTAGCTAACACATCCCTGTCTCTGTAGAGTACCTTTACTGTGCTTGTCATACAGATGGGGTAACCAAAGTACAGAGAGGGTAAGTCACAAAGAGTGAAAGCCAGCTGTGGTGGCCAATGGAGGCCACCCGGGCAGGGGCAAGGGAGGCTGGTGAGGAGCTGGCTTCCCCTGAGACCCTCAGGAGGGAAACAGCAGGAGCTGAAGGCCAGAGAATCCTCCTCGTTCCCAAGCAACAGGAAGACACAAGTCAATGTTACCAGGAGTTAAAATGGGAGCCAGAGTACAGTGTTAGAAACTCAGGGAAACTGGGTGCTCAAGGGCTGCAGAGAGGAAGGAGTGTTTATCTGATAGTTTCGGTTGAGTAGGATTGGCGATGGGATGTAGAAATGGGAACCCACTTCACACTACTGGACTGGATATTTAAAAATAGATAAAGGATACATTTTATGTTATGTCTTTTTAAGAAAAGACACAAAACTAAAAGAAGACTGAATAAAGTATGTCATTCAATGTGAAACAAAGTAGACGAAACCTCAAAAAAACATTACTTACTAGACTTATTTTAATAAAAACATAAAATGTCTGAGTGGGTCTATAATATTAAAGAAGTTAAATCAGTAATCTAACATTTTCTGGTAGCCTGTAATCTGCGTGCCTGTAATCCCAGCACTTGAGAGGCTGAGGCAGGAGGATCACCAAGAATTCAAGATCAGCCTTGAACTACATAGTGAGTTTAAGGCCAGCTGAATTACTGTCTCAAAAATTTTTTTTAAATTTAAATTTTCCCATAAAGAAAATACCATGTAAGCATAGTTTTATAGATATCCAAATTGAGACAAATCTAATTTTTCTTCTTTCTTTCTTTCTTTCTTTCTTTCTTTCTTTTATATTCTCCATTTGATCTGGATAGCAAACACAGGGGCACTCCATCACTAAGCTACATCCCTAGTCTTTTTAAATTTTTAACTTTTGAGATAGAGTCTCATTAAATTGTCCAGACTGAGGTCAAACTTGTGATTCTTTCTGCCTCAACCTTCTGAGTAGCTGGGATTGCACCATTATGCCTAGCTAAGGTAAATCAACTTTTATAAAAACTTTCTGAGAATGGCAAATGCAGAAACATTTTTTTTTTTTAAACTGGGACTCAAATTCAGGACCTTGTATGTGCCAGGCAGGGATTGTGCCACTGAGCTATATCCTGGTTTTTTGGTTTTGGTTTTGGTTTTTTTCTTTTTGAGATAGTGTCTCACTAAGCAGTTCAGACTTTCCTTGAACTCACTTTGTAGCCCAGGCTGGTTTTGAATTTGTAATGATCCTCCTGCCTCAGCCTCCCAAATGCTGGGATTACAGGCATGAGCCACCATACCTGGCTCTCTAACTCTTTCTATATGACTATATTTTCCCAACAAGAAAAGAAATTTCTGAACAAGAAAGGAAAATTAAAGGTTAATAGCACTTACAGTATAAATTCAACAATTGTAAGAAAACATAATTGGTAAATCAAACCTGCAGTGTATAAATCTATAATCTATAAATGTATAAATCACATTTGAGTTGGGTTCACAGATGGAAACCCACAGCTGTGGTGGTTTATGTCTTGTGACTGCTCCTCTCCTGTGATTTTACCTTCACCAATGATGGGTTGCTTGGTGCCTCTGTACAGCTGCCCGTGTCCCCTACTCCAAGTGTATACTAAGTTTTTTTCTTTCTTTTTTTTTTTTTTTTTGGTCTTTTTTTGAGATGGGGTCTCGCTATGCAGTTCAGGCTAGTCTTGAGCTCGCTTTGTAGCCCAGGATGGTCTCGAACTCACAACGATCCTCCTGCCTCAGCCTCCCGAGTGCTGGGATTACAGGCGTGAGCCACCCCGGCCAGTTTATACTAAGTTTCTTTTTGCTTTTGTACTCAGGGACATTTTTAATGCTTTAGGAGCCATTTGTCTGCCTCTATCTCCCAGATGTGAAGAGTTAGGGTCCTTAACATGCACCCTTTTACCACAAAGGGATCAGGAGCCTGTGGGGTCCCCGGCAGCCCCTCCTTCCTGGTGCCATGCTGTGTGCTTCTGAACGGTCTCAGCAGAACTGACGCCCTTTGCCTCCAGCACATCATAGCCCAGCTCCTTTAAATGATTTCTAGCAGGGTGTGGTGGCACATGCCTGTGATCCCAGCACTCAGGAGGCTGAGACAGGATCACGGTGAGTTTGAAACTAGCTGGGGCTACAAAGTAAGTTTAAGGCCAGCCTGAGCCGCAGGGTGAAACCCTATCTTAGAAAGGCAAAAAAACAGGCTTCTCCTCCTCTCTAATCTCCTGCTCCCTGTCCCTGACCATGGACATTCTTTGCTCCCTGGACTTGTTTCTTATGTAACCTGCCTAAACCTCAGTCCTTGCCCAGCTCCGCTTTGGAAGGAGCCCACACTAAAACCTCATGTTAATAGATTTAAGGAAAAAATAAGATCATCTCAATAAATTCTAAAAACAAAAACATAAACACACACATTGATGTTTGGCATCTTTTCTAATAAACATGTTTTTCTTATCATGTTGCAACATTGTAACATGATAAGGAAAACACAACTTTTTTTTACACGCTTGCAAGGCAGGCGCTTTATGCCGCTGAGCTAAATCTCCAGCCCGGAAAAACACGACCTTTAATGAATACATTTTAGAATTTCCTTCAAAATCATGATCTCTGACAGCTCCATCTTTCTTTTTCTCTCTTTTTGTTTTTTGTGTTTTGTTTTGGTTTTGGTTTTTTCTTGGAGGCAGGGACTTGCTATGTGACTAGTTCAGGCTGGCCTTGAACTTACTATGTAACCTAGACTGCCCTCGAACTCTCCATGATCCTCCTACCTCAGCCTCCTGAGTGCTGGGATTACAGAAGCACACTACAATGCCCAGCTATTCCCTACTTCTTTTTAACATTGCACCAAAGGTCCTAGACAGTGTAGTAAGACTCAGTTAATTCATTAATGAATTAACTAGTAACTACTGTTGATTTCATAGTGGTTTTTTTGTCGGTACCGGGGATTGAACTCACGACCACCTGCTTGCAAGGCAGGTGCTTATGCCACTGAGCTAAATCCCCACCTCCAATGAATTAACTAGTAAAAATCTAAGGATTAGAGAACGAAACCACATCAGCAGAATATCCAAAAAACAAATCATTAGACAAATGATTCAAAATAAAACTTTCAGCAGGGTAGCTAGCTATATGATCAATATTTAAGAATAAATTGCTTTTGTAGCACATCAGTAACATACAGAATGTGATTAAAACCATTGCACTTATGATAGCCAATAAAGGTAGGAATAAACCAAGCAAACCCTAAACCTCTAAGACCTGTAATTATAAAACTTTAT